TTGAGCCGCCAACCTAGACAGCATAATTTTATGGAATGCTTTTGACACAAAGGCTGTTTCAAGCAGTGGGGATTTTGGCCATATTCTAGGGCAGAATCTCATAAAGTGTTCGTAAGGAATCAGTGTGTGTGTGTGTGGGGCGGGGGGGGGGGACACACAAAATTACAGAATCAGGAAAATTTTTGATAACAAATATCTTTCAGACAATATGCTATTTTAGAAAATGACTATTTTACTCAATATTTTGAGTGGTATGTATTTTTTGTGCTTAAGAGTATCACATTGTTTGCTTGATTTCAAAAGATTTCAAATTTGATTTCAAAAGAGTTTGGCATTAGCATGCTGAAGGTTAGGACTCTATACATGTAAAAAGGCAGTTCAGTGGCTTTTGGAACACTGTTATTTAAGTATTATTTATATACTATTGTAGTATTAATTAATTAATTAATTTTGAATTCGTTTTTATTTTTGTATGTTCAGTTTTCTTTTTAATTATTATTTAGCTTTATTTTATTTTATTTCCGTTTTAGCAATTTTGATACTTCAAATTAAACTTACTTTATTTCAGTTATTTGCCAAGGCAACAATTCTTTATTTCAATTAATGAAAACTATTTTTAATAATTTCAGTTAACAATAACACCTTTTAGAATGGAGTCAGTGAATGCAAAAGGAAAAGACTTATTCCCAAACCCCCTTACCTTTCTTTCTCAGCCATGACCTGTACAGGGCTGAGCTGGTTGCTCTTGTTGCCGGTGCCCAGCTGGCCGTAAGTGTTGGCCCCCCATGCATACAGTAGCCCCTCATCGGTCAGTGCTAGAGAATGAGCGTAACCTGATGCAATCTGTTAAAAAGTGACACAGTGACATGTTTTACTATTTTTCCACCCATTTACATTTTTAAAAAATCGATATGGTCACATGAGTTATGTGGAAAAATGATTTTCATTCAAACAATAATCTTACTGACCTCAATCATTTGAACGGTAGTATATATTACCATATTATTACATGTAGAACTAATAATCTAAGAACATGGCAGATCTTCTGTTTCGTACCTGCACCACACAGAAGCCTTGTAGCGCAATCAAACGGCACGGTGTCAGCTGGTTCCCATTGTTGCCTAACCCTAGCTGGCCGTTACCATTGTAACCCCAGCCATAAACCTGAAATGCACACATTTCACCACTAACAAACAAGCAACACAGCTACAGTGAGAAATACAGCAAGACACCACACAAGCTCTAAATAGTCACTAGTCAACACAATATTTTACAAAGCACGTTGCATATTTCCATAAACAGGAAGGTTATAAATGGTTAACTTCATCCCTTACCTCGCCATTATCCGCCACAGCCATGGATGAAGTCTGTCCACAGGCTATACTGACCATCACTTTGCTCTGCAGACAGTTGGACACCTTGCGGGGTGTGGGCTGGTTGGCGGTGGACCCTGAACCCACCTGACCACAGTTGTTGTAGCCCCACGCAAACACCTAGGACGACATACAATTAGCGGTCAAGTTAATTAGCAGGGACGTTAAGCTAAAAATATTCCTTTATAAAAACACACGCCAGCCAATGTTTTTGTGTGAGCTACAGCTAGAACTTTTAATGAAGCTGAATATGAATTATTACCACAGACAAACACAGAGTGCTACACCCGAGTTGATCTTAGTAGTCACAGTGAGAACAAAAGCCCTCACAGCTTAGCAAAAAAGGTCACATGCTCCTTATTACAGCGAGCACAACGAGGCTAAGCAGATAACTATACTTGCTAAACAGATGAGGAAAGAAAGGAGGGTTTTGTCAAACCTAAATCCACCTAATACCCTTTAAAATGTAACCTACATATTTAACCCACTACTGAAGTGTTTCTAAAGAGACTGATAAAAGCGAAAATTGTTACATGCAAAAGAAACGGAAAGATTTTGTTTGGATTATTGGATTAGCATGTGACACGGAGCAATTTTAACAGACTTTTCTATATTCTGAAACTATTTGATTAGTCCATGCCATCAGATTCACAGTATGTCATTGGTTTAACCCTGATTAATGGACACATCTGTGCACCAATAGGTTGATCTTGGCATTTTAACCAATAGGCAGTGTTTTAAATCAACCACAATGGAAAATATTTGACTTAAAAATACCTCCATGTGAGAAACACAGCTGAATCAGTCTGTGGTCCACTAAAGCCTCTAACTCTCTTACCCCAAATAAGAGTACATCTCAGAGAAATACTTCTTTAAAAGAGACATTCTGTGATAAACACAACTTATTATGCAGCCCTTTTTTGTCCGTCTTATCATAAAGCAAATTCGCCAACAGTGGCATTGCTAGTCTAGCATATGTTCTACCTTTCATATGTTCTGCTGTTTTTAATCAATTTGAACTGGTTTCTATTCCTTTTTGGGGCAAGGCTGGATTATTTCTAAATAATAAAATAGTAATAATAAAATGTGACATATATTAATGCAACTCATCTGTGATTTTTCAATTGTACTGTTGAGAGAAAACTAATCAATATTTGGTTAAATGTCCAATCTCTTATGTATGGAAGCCCATTTCCACCACAAATAAAAAATAATTATCATTTACCAAAACATGATTTGGCATAATTATTACAAACATTTATGAGAAACTAAGTCATGTTTATGAGATAAAAGTTCAAATTTATGAGAAATGCCGAAATGTTATGTCAAATGCATAAACGTTAATGAATGCGTTCATGACCTCAAGGTTAGATTATTGTAATGCTTTATTGGGTGGTTGTTCTGCACGCTTAATAAAAAAAATTCAGCTGGTCCAAAATGCAGCAGCTAGAGTTCTTACTAGAACCAGGAAGTACAAACATCTTAGCCCGGTTCTGTCAACTCACTGGCACTGGCTCCCTACTGAACATCGTATACATTTTAAAATCTTGCTAATTAATTATAAAGCCCTGAATAGTTTAGCTCCTCACTACTTTTGTGAGCTCATATCACATTGTAGTCCTTCACATCAGCTGCGATCTCAAAGCTCGCTATTTGATAATACCTAGAATATCAAAATCAACTGCGGGCTGCAGATCCTTGTCCTATTTAGCGCCCAAAATCTGGAACAATCTGCCTAGCGTTGTTCGGGAGGCAGACACACTCTGTCAGTTTAAATCTAGATTAAAGACCCATCTTTTTAACCTGGCATACACCTAATACACTATCGCATATCTATAACTCAAATCCATTAAAGGATTATTAGGCTGCATTAATTAGGTCAACCAGAATCGAGAATACTTTCCATAACACTAGATGCATTCGCTACATCATAAGAAAAATGGCATCTGTGCTAATATTAGTCTCTTTCTTCTTATTCTGAGGTCACCGTAGCCATACGGATCCAGTCTGTATCCAGACCAGACCTAGAGACGACCTCTACAGCCCTGAATGTCAGCAGAGACCATGTCAACTAGATGAGCCCCAGAGACAGATCCCCTGCGAAGACCGCGTCAACTAGACGACCTTCGGCACAAGACCACGGGAACCAGACAAGTCCTCTGTGTTATAGCCTGGAATTAAACCACGTCATGCTGGTTTCGTCTGGTTTCTCCCAAGGTTTTTTTCTCCGTTTCTATCACCGATGAAGTTTTGTTTCCTTGCCACTGTCGTCTTTGGCTTGCTTAGTTGGGGACGCTTGACTGATTGCACAGACACTACTGGAAGAGAGCTGAACTGGATGATGACATCACTGAATCATCAATGAACTGACTTTAGCTGGAAAAATGTTTGTTATTGGCCTCTTGCATTACTGACAAACTATTTTCCTGTTTGACACTGTAAAGCTGCTTTGACACAATCTGTATTGTATAAAGCGCTATGCAAGTAAAGGTTTTAAAAAAAAGATAGAATTCAAAATTATGACATAATTAGACATAACGAATAAAAAGTAAATCATAAAGCCAATTATGACAAAAAATTTAATAATATGCCATAATTATGCCATAAAGCAAAGCATTTACCAAAGTGGTGCAAATAGGCTTCCATACTCAATTGAAATGTGACGAAAAACTGTTCCCAAGCCTCACCTCACCCTCATGGGTTAGAGCCAAAGAGTGGTGAGAACCACAGGCAACTTCAGTCACTCTCTTGTTCTGCAGGTTAGTAGACACCAAAACAGGAGACACACCTTGATTGGTCGTCCCATTGCCCAACTGACTGTATCCATTATGCCCCCATACATACAACTCCCCCTCTGTAAAGAGAAGAAAGGACTTTGAATAAGGCAATATTATCAAATACATACCCATTACTATGTTTAAACATTTAAAAATAACTGAATGTATCCAGACAGGCAAGTGATTTCACATTATGCCTCTACTTTAACTATAGGCAAAGCCACAAAATACTTTCAGTTTACATAGAATATAGGAATTCAAGCTTGTACTTACCTTCTGTAGCGAGCAGAACATGAGGGCCACTGCCATAGCTCAAACTAACCAGCTTCTTCCCAGTCAGACAGTCCAGCTTTTTAGGAACAATTGTGCTCTGACTGTCTCCAGTGCCCAGGCAATTACTGCAGTTCAAACCCAACACGTACACCTGTGTCAGGACGTCCAGATTAGTTTTCATATGAAGGTACAGAAGCCCCTCGTGAACCTTTATTCTGTCAATACAAATGACTAAAACAGGCCATGTAAGCTTACACCACCAAGACTCACACAGACAAAGAAGATACTATCAGTTTCTTGATCAGCTTACTTCGTCATCGTGGGTGATATAGATAGCCTCATTCGCAGATGTTCCGAAGATGCATGCATGTCGTATGGAGGCGAGCTCCTGTGCACTCAAGAGGGTGAAGAGAGGCCACTTACTCACATCCACCATGGCAACTCTCCTTTGTAAGAGCAGGGGATGGGGTTTGGAGACAAGAAGATACCTGCTGTGTGTGCCTTGGAAAGTGGACACATACACCATCACTCAAAAGTCTGGAATAATTCAGATTTTGAAATGTTTCACGCATTAATTTGATCAAAAATACATTAAAAACAGTAATATTATATAATAATATAACAATTTTAAAAACTTTAAAACGTTTTGTTTTAATATATTTTAAAATATAATGTATTCCTGTGATGACCAAGCTGAATTTTCAGCATCATTACTCCAGTCTTCAGTGTCACATGATTCTTCAGAAATCATTCTGTCTGCTATGCTGATTTGCTGCTCAGTTCAATTATTATTTCAAGATCAACCTGAGGTAAATTACCTTAACAAGGATGGCAGATGACCACTGCACTTGGTTTGATATTATATCCCGAGATACCACAGCTCACAACAATTGACACAACACACTTTCATAATATATAGAAAGGCTTTTGTGTGTGGAACAGCACTGAACTGATGGGTCATAAAGCCTATCTGTCTGTTGTTTTGTCACTAAAACATTTCGGTGCAGTCCTTTATAACGACCAACTGCTAAAACTCACTAGTTACAGCTTTCATTGTATCTGTGTCACTTTTACAGCTGCTCAGGGATCAGTCACGACCGTGTAGCAAAATCTACAGTAAAAACTAGTGTGTAATGTGCACGTGAAAGAAATCGCTATATCAGCAGGGTTGGTTTAAACATATCTTCTTGCAGGCTCGCGTTACTGTACGTATAAGCAAGCTCGGTTAGCCCGACAGCTACTTCGTCGCTCCCTCAGGACATGAGATAGACTCACACTACAGAAAAAAAAAACGGTTTTCATCAAGTCAACGCCACAAAACCTACCTAGTAACTACAGGAGTTTGGGACCATGCGATTAGCGAGTTATCCAGTACCTCTAGTAGCCTGTGGCGCCAGCAGTACGTCCACGGGAGAGCGTTCACATCAGAGAGAAAACAAACTCACTCGTTTCCTGGTCGTGGTTGCTACGGCTCCATGAACGACTGCTCAACTGTCCAATCAGACTGCTTGTACGTCGCTCCTACTTCATGGATTGGCAGAAGCAGAAGGCTGGAGACGGAGGGGGCGGGACTTTGCGGAATAAGGATGACAAAATCCACGCGAGGAAAAATAAGGTCTAAAATAAGCCACATACATGTTAATAATAATAATAATTGTAAATGTAAATAAATAAATATAAATGTTAGGTCAAATGTAGGCCTACTTATTGAGTTCATGTTGAACGGCAAAACACTTGCTACTATTAAAGTGGGTTAGTGGTACCCTTACGAAAATTAACCATGGTGTAATTTTTTTTGCGCATTGATTACCACCAGTTTTACTACAAATACCATAGTTAAACTATGGTTAGTGTAGCAAAACCATGGTCCATATTTGTGGTTACCATGAACTGTTATCTAAAATTTTGGTATCAAAAATAAAAATAACAACACTATTTTATAATTGTGTGGCAGGGCAAGTAGTAACCATGTTTATATATATATATATATATATATGTAGTAAAACCATGGTTAATTTTCGTAAAGGTATGTTTAGGTTAGGTTTAAGGGTGGGTTAAGGTATAGGGGTAGGGTCGACAGTGTAATAATTATAGATGTAACTACAGAAATCAATTACATGAGTAACTGGTAACTACACGCAGGATTTTTTTTTTTAAATATTAGCACAACGTACACAATTAGTTCATTATATCTATTGATTAATTTCAATGTTAGTATAGGTAAAGACACATAATATAAAGTGGGTCCATTATTATTGTTGTTATTATTATATTCTTCTGCTATTTTATTAATGCCACCCGTAGCAGCTGAAGAATACTGCTGAGGTCAAATCTTAGAACACAGAACATTTATATATATTTTTTTTATATACGTTTACGCTTTTACCTCAGCAGTAATATTCATTAAAATAGCAACCCTCTACATTGCGAGTAAATCACTCGCATATGCGACTGCCGTAGCAGCTGAAGAATACTGCTGAGGTCAAATCTTAGAACACAGAACATTTATATATATTTTTTTATATACGTTTACGCTTTTACCTCAGCAGTAATATTCATTAAAATAGCAACCCTCTACATTGCGAGTAAATCACTCGCATATGTGACTAAGCGAGCTGTACTATTTGGATGCGCTCAGTGGATCATGTCATGCACTCGATGGATGCGCAGTGTGTAGCACGCAGCGCACTGTGTTTGACGCACCGTAAACTAGTGTGAAGGCGCACGACTCGCCGTCGCTTTGCTGATAGCGCTGTGTTTCTCACACATGCAGAGAGAGAGAGAGAGCAAGAGAGTCTTGCATACCACGCTGAATCGACGCGCTACATGTAAACCATATTCTTTGTTGTATTTTCCTGTCAAAATAACAGAGTTTATTTAGAATTATTCAGCTTTTAAGAACAAGCAGAAGATATGCCGGTTTCTCGGCAGTGGGCGGAGCTAATGCGCGAACAGCTCTCATTGGCTGGCGCTCATCTATTACCGTCCCTGTTTTGATTTCAGCAAATCAGTTCGAGCGAACGCTGACAACGTGATTAATATTCATGACATATCTTAAACACCACCACCAGTCCTAAGTTCAGTTAAAATGACAAATATGCATTCATTCATGGTTACCAAGCTTTAGTTCTAATCACTATAGTTCTACCATTAAATAGTGCTTAATTATCATACCTACTTAACCATATTTTGGAGATAAATCTGTACCCAAAAGTGAGCAAAGCCTGACAAAATCGGCAAAAACCTCAATTTGTGGATGTCCTCATTTGTAAAACTGTTATAAAAATAAAGTAAACTCATTTTTTTTTTTACTTTTGAAATTGTAAAAATGCAGAAAGTTTTCTGTGAGCGTTAGGTTAAAAAGTGTATAACTATCTGTATATGAAAACAATATGTAATGTCCCCATTTAGATAGCTTAGTAAACGTGTGTGTGTAAATTAGTATATCAGTCTGGCGAGTAAACAAAAAGAATTACTAGCCAATGGCGATTATATTGCCAAGGTGTGCGTAGAGCGTTGAATAGATTCAAAATTTTCGTTTTCATATTTTATACACATTATTGTCAAGTCATACAGGATCATTTGCATTATTCAGTTCGGTTTCTGTGATCCCCGAGCAGGCTGGCTCGCGCGTAAAGTTGACAAACCTGTCGGGCTGAATTCACGGACAATCCTATAGTTTCAGCTACATGTAGCCGTTCACTTAGTGTCGCTTCTGCTTTGCATACGAACATAAAACGAAGAGTGCAATCAAGGACTCCGCCAAATGCCAGTCTGAACCTGCCCAGATACAGACAAGAGTCCGTAAGTTCAATCAGAAAGGCGCCTTTCAAATCAGGATGGGCGCCATTAAGTCTAAACAATACAAAAAGACTCCTCAGGTTCTCCTCATGGGCTTGGATGCGGCTGGAAAATCGACTTTGCTGTACAGGCAGCAGCGTGGTGTGGTGATGGAGACCTCACCTACAGTGGGCTTCAATGTTGCGACTGTAGAGCTGAACAAGAAGACCTCACTGACCGTGTGGGATGTTGGGGGACAAGGAACTATGAGGCCTAATTGGAAATACTACCTGGAGGGATGTAAGGTCCTGGTTTTCGTGGTGGACAGCAGTGATCGTGCCAGGATGGGAGAAGCCCAGAAAGCCCTGAAGAAGATTCTGAGTAATGAGCATTTGAAAGGAGTTCCCCTGATGGTGCTGGCTAACAAGAAAGACCTGCCAAACTCTCCGACTGTTAGAGAGGTGTCTACATTGCTGGAGCTGGATAGTTACACAGATCGAGTGTGGGAGATCCAAGCTTGCAGCGCCCTGAAGGGACTGGGTCTCCAACAAGCCTTTCTCTCTATAGCTAAGCTAATGCACAAAGCATAAGTAAGATACTAAGCTAACTACGGAATACAATAACAAGCAAAATGAAGAGGTTTGATCATGATACTATCATACTAAAACTAGACCTAGAATGTTAGGCAAATAATTGACTGATTTAACTACTGCACTTGTTCACAGTTGCTGTAAATAGTATGTTTATTTTTTTACTTGTCTTCATGGTCTGCACTTCAAGCATGTGTTCTGTAATTACTGCAAACTTTTCCTTTGTAACTGAATGCCATGTTGCTGTGATTTTGATGAGAATCCTGTCTTGTGATGCATACATTTTGATATTGGAAAATTTATTGAGGAACATTCATAGAAAATTGGGTGCTTTTAAATGCAATTTCAGTCTTAGGTAACACTTTACGATAAGGTTCAATTTGTCAAATTTAGTTAACTACATTAGTTAACATGAACTACCAATGGAAATTTGTTAAATAATGTTAATGCCATCATTCATATACATCATGGATATTTTGATTTTGAAAAGCAGCTTATGCATTTGAGATAAAACATTGCCTTATCACAAATAGGTAAATTCATATTTAGACTCAAATGGATTGGATATACATTACAACTTTATTTGGAAACTTTACAGAGTCGAATCAGTAAGAAATGGGGTGATTTTAAATTCAATTTTTGTTTTCTAGGCAACACTTTCTACATGTTCCATTTGTTAACATTCGTTAACTACATTAGTTGCCATGAACTATCAATAGAAAATACATCTAAATATTTATCGAGCTCAGTTCATGTTCATTTGAACATTTACACATAATAGTGTGTAAATTAAAGTAAAAAGTTGTTTCTGTTAATATTAATGGATTTGAGTTAATAATAAACAGTTGTATTTTTACTAACTTACAAAGATTAATAAATACTGTAACAAATTTATTGCTCATTGTTAGTTAATGCATTATCTGTAAATCACTCGCATATGCGACTAAATCTTACTCTGGGCGACTAAATAATGTCTAACATTAGCCATTGGCTAATAAATTCTTAAGATTTTACACGCCAGTATGTGTGAGAGAGGCGTTCAACAGATTTTCACTGGATAAACATGCTGACTGAGCGCTTGAGAGTTTCGCTCTCCGTCAAGCGAGCTGTACTATTTGGATGCGCTCAGTGGATCATGTCATGCACTCGATGGATGCGCAGTGTGTAGCACGCAGCGCACTGTGTTTGACGCACCGTAAACTAGTGTGAAGGCGCACGACTCGCCGTCGCTTTGCTGATAGCGCTGTGTTTCTCACACATGCAGAGAGAGAGAGAGAGCAAGAGAGTCTTGCATACCACGCTGAATCGACGCGCTACATGTAAACCATATTCTTTGTTGTATTTTCCTGTCAAAATAACAGAGTTTATTTAGAATTATTCAGCTTTTAAGAACAAGCAGAAGATATGCCGGTTTCTCGGCAGTGGGCGGAGCTAATGCGCGAACAGCTCTCATTGGCTGGCGCTCATCTATTACCGTCCCTGTTTTGATTTCAGCAAATCAGTTCGAGCGAACGCTGACAACGTGATTAATATTCATGACATATCTTAAACACCACCACCAGTCCTAAGTTCAGTTAAAATGACAAATATGCATTCATTCATGGTTACCAAGCTTTAGTTCTAATCACTATAGTTCTACCATTAAATAGTGCTTAATTATCATACCTACTTAACCATATTTTGGAGATAAATCTGTACCCAAAAGTGAGCAAAGCCTGACAAAATCGGCAAAAACCTCAATTTGTGGATGTCCTCATTTGTAAAACTGTTATAAAAATAAAGTAAACTCATTTTTTTTTTTACTTTTGAAATTGTAAAAATGCAGAAAGTTTTCTGTGAGCGTTAGGTTAAAAAGTGTATAACTATCTGTATATGAAAACAATATGTAATGTCCCCATTTAGATAGCTTAGTAAACGTGTGTGTGTAAATTAGTATATCAGTCTGGCGAGTAAACAAAAAGAATTACTAGCCAATGGCGATTATATTGCCAAGGTGTGCGTAGAGCGTTGAATAGATTCAAAATTTTCGTTTTCATATTTTATACACATTATTGTCAAGTCATACAGGATCATTTGCATTATTCAGTTCGGTTTCTGTGATCCCCGAGCAGGCTGGCTCGCGCGTAAAGTTGACAAACCTGTCGGGCTGAATTCACGGACAATCCTATAGTTTCAGCTACATGTAGCCGTTCACTTAGTGTCGCTTCTGCTTTGCATACGAACATAAAACGAAGAGTGCAATCAAGGACTCCGCCAAATGCCAGTCTGAACCTGCCCAGATCCAGACAAGAGTCCGTAAGTTCACTCAGAAACGCGCCTTTCAAATCAGGATGGGCGCCATTAAGTCTAAACAATACAAAAAGACTCCTCAGGTTCTCCTCATGGGCTTGGATGCGGCTGGAAAATCGACTTTGCTGTACAGGCAGCAGCGTGGTGTGGTGATGGAGACCTCACCTACAGTGGGCTTCAATGTTGCGACTGTAGAGCTGAACAAGAAGACCTCACTGACCGTGTGGGATGTTGGGGGACAAGGAACTATGAGGCCTAATTGGAAATACTACCTGGAGGGATGTAAGGTCCTGGTTTTCGTGGTGGACAGCAGTGATCGTGCCAGGATGGGAGAAGCCCAGAAAGCCCTGAAGAAGATTCTGAGTAATGAGCATTTGAAAGGAGTTCCCCTGATGGTGCTGGCTAACAAGAAAGACCTGCCAAACTCTCCGACTGTTAGAGAGGTGTCTACATTGCTGGAGCTGGATAGTTACACAGATCGAGTGTGGGAGATCCAAGCTTGCAGCGCCCTGAAGGGACTGGGTCTCCAACAAGCCTTTCTCTCTATAGCTAAGCTAATGCACAAAGCATAAGTAAGATACTAAGCTAACTACGGAATACAATAACAAGCAAAATGAAGAGGTTTGCTCATGATACTATCATACTAAAACTAGACCTAGAATGTTAGGCAAATAATTGACTGATTTAACTACTGCACTTGTTCACAGTTGCTGTAAATAGTATGTTTATTTTTTTACTTGTCTTCATGGTCTGCACTTCAAGCATGTGTTCTGTAATTACTGCAAACTTTTCCTTTGTAACTGAATGCCATGTTGCTGTGATTTTGATGAGAATCCTGTCTTGTGATGCATACATTTTGATATTGGAAAATTTATTGAGGAACATTCATAGAAAATTGGGTGCTTTTAAATGCAATTTCAGTCTTAGGTAACACTTTACGATAAGGTTCAATTTGTCAAATTTAGTTAACTACATTAGTTAACATGAACTACCAATGGAAATTTGTTAAATAATGTTAATGCCATCATTCATATACATCATGGATATTTTGATTTTGAAAAGCAGCTTATGCATTTGAGATAAAACATTGCCTTATCACAAATAGGTAAATTCATATTTAGACTCAAATGGATTGGATATACATTACAACTTTATTTGGAAACTTTACAGAGTCGAATCAGTAAGAAATGGGGTGATTTTAAATTCAATTTTTGTTTTCTAGGCAACACTTTCTACATGTTCCATTTGTTAACATTCGTTAACTACATTAGTTGCCATGAACTATCAATAGAAAATACATCTAAATATTTATCGAGCTCAGTTCATGTTCATTTGAACATTTACACATAATAGTGTGTAAATTAAAGTAAAAAGTTGTTTCTGTTAATATTAATGGATTTGAGTTAATAATAAACAGTTGTATTTTTACTAACTTACAAAGATTAATAAATACTGTAACAAATTTATTGCTCATTGTTAGTTAATGCATTATCTAATGTTAACTAATGGGACCTTATTGTAAAGTATTCCCCTTTTATATTGTTTACACATGAAGCTGTAAACTAATCTTTGACATTGCAATGATGAAGTAATACCTTAAACCTTACAATACATACCTTGTTCAGGCCTGCATATATAAGTGACTATGACCAAAATATAGCAGGCTAACCTGTTATGCTGTCATAACTTGGCAAGAAAGTAGCCAACTCAATAGCACAGTCTGTGTAAAAAAGAAGCATGTGATGAAACATGAATTGAAGTAACTATTTACAATATAATCTGGATCCAATTTGTGCTTTCTATCATACTGGATAAGGTAGTTTGGTAAGGGGAATTAGTAGGGAAGCTGGTCCTAGATCAGTGTTAAAAAAAGCTAAATAAAGAATTCACTGTTTAGGTGTCATATGGCAGGAATGCAAATAATACTAGTAAAAGTCTGTTGCTATGAGTCAGTAGTTTGGTGTGAACTTCCTTTGTCTTTACCACTGCAATTATGCAAAGATACGCCGTAACAACTGTTCCTCTAATATTCGGTGTACACAATAAATGTGTATAATACATCAACTGCAGTACATCCTCTCCACATCTCAGTTTGTTGACTTTGAAAAGCTAATTATAACTGTGATAATTATATGCTTGATCACTAATGATCTGATTTTATCTGTTCTTCTTCTTTGGATACTGATGCATCCTTCTCAAATCCCTCCATGACTGCAAAAGGAGGAGTCCAGGCACCACCACCCAGATCCCATTGAAGAACACCAGATAGACCCACAGGTACAGCCAGTTGCTGGTGTTCAGGTTAGGGCTTCCGATTAGCCAGTCTGGACAGAAGGTCATCCAGCCCCCGTACAACTCACACACACATAGTGTGATCTGAACAAAGTGCCTGGTTCAGAAAGAAATGCATAAAACCGTGTTAAATATCAAGAAGCCTAACTAATAAAGATTTTATTTTGCAGATTGTGGGATGGAGTTTGAATTGGAAATCAAAGCTGGATTATTGAGATTGTGGGGCAAAAAAAAATAGGTTAGAAATTTAAGAGAAAACATTGCGTTATCACAAATAGATAAAATCATATTTAGACTTTAATGAATCTCAAATGGATTGTATTTATATGCAGAATGAATCATTTTGAAAACTGTTGCCTGATTTACCTGTAGTGTTTGTCTTTGATGATGGCGTAGACTAGAAGCAGGGCCAAAGTACCATCTAAAACCACTGTCAGAAGCTCCAGAGATACTATTGTCGGGTCGGAGTACAACCAGCGCTCATCTGCCTTGCCATATTCTTTCCCTGTTAAACATTAACATGCGTTACATGTACAAGACAACAGAAAGCAGAAATGAACTTTTCAAGGTAAATGGACATTTTGCATCGTAGTAACTTACTTCCCTCGGTCTCAGTGCAGTGGTTGAATGACATATCCAGGCCCCGCCCATGGTTCTAACGCGGGAGCTTGCAGCCATAGGCTCACGCAGAACTCTCTTCACGTCACAGAGCGGAGTACGTTTTGGCGGCAAATTGTTTTATTCCACCAAGTACTTTTCTGCCATTATGTAATAATTATATTCAACGCCATAATATATGTAGACATCATAGAATAACCTGTCAAACGTACAAATATCCCATTTAAAAACAGCTAGGAACAGCATGAAAATATATCAACAGTCATGACGTCGATTTGTAGTCCATCGCAGAATTCTAATTCTACGCATTCAAGATGCACATAAATTGCTTCAGGAAGTAAGACATTCTGTAACTATTTGAGGTCCGGACTGGCAGAAAGTGGAGAGCCTCAAGGGAGCTGGAGGCAGCAGAGTCTAGGCCGGGTCACTCTTTCAGGTCTAGAAAGCAAACTTTTTAAAAATTTGTCTTCCTAATATTTCCAGGACTGTGGAAACCCTGGTTTTTCTTTTTTTAGATTTAGTTTATTTTGAACGCTGTTTTTGTTTGAATTTAAATCGTTCCATCATCTAGACCCCCCCCCCCTTTGGTCGAGAACTACTGATTTAAAGGGATAGATACCCCAGAAATGAAAAGGCCATTTACAGGTAAAACGTGAACGTTCCTGCATACACCTTTGCACTTACCAGAGTAAAATGAACCATTGCGTCGTAAAACAACCACACGAGGACCCACCGATCAACAGCGGAGCATTTATTCCCACATTTTTGCGCAAAAACAAACCCGACAGCAAACTGAGCCACACACGCGAGTAGAGAATAAACCGTTACTTTAGTGAAAAGTGCAGGTTCTTCGCCTTCTGCCATTATATTTGTAGTAACTTACTTCCCTCGGTCTCAGTGCAGTGGCCGAATGACATATCCAGGCCCCGCCCATGGTTCTAACGCGGGAGCTTGCAGCCATAGGCTCACGCAGAACTCTCTCCACGTCACAGAGCAGAGTACGTTTTGGCGGCAAATTGTTTTATTCCACCAAGTACTTTTCTGCCATTATGTAATAATTATATTCAACGCCATAATATATGTAGACATCATAGAATTGCCTGTCAAACGTACAAATATCCCATTTAAAAACAACTAGGAACAGCATGAAAATATATCAACAGTCATGACGTCGATTTGTAGTCCATCGCAGAATTCTAATTCTAGCCATGGATGCCCTTAGGAATTTCATATGGTTAAAATGTTCGATTTAAGATCAAAATTACACATTTTGCTCTTCAATCTAAATTGCAATTTTTTAAACCTACTTTTTAAAACCAACGTTCTAAGAAGTTGGGAGCAAGTTGATCCCTCATGCACACAAACTCTCGTCCCCTATGGTAGTTGTAGTCCTTATGAAGCACATTGCATTTATATATTTTTTTATTCACGGTGGTTTTAAATTTTATGTTTGAGGTATGGCCGTCTCATTTATGTGTAATTAAGTTTCTTTAAATAATGTAAAGAAATAGATTAAAAATCAGTCTCAAAAATGCTAATTGTTTTCGACTTGATGGCCAGCAAATCTCACCCAAAATGTGTGTCACCAATGTAAACATTGACCCTATAATGTGGACGCAGGTGACTGGTGTTTCTGATTTAATCTCGCTGTAAGCTCACAAGAAGCAACAGAGCATTGCACTTATTAGAAAGAGAAGAGAAAAAGACTTCTGTATAGATAAAGCGAAATTAAATGCCAGAACAGGGACAAGAAGGAAAGCTAACAGGTAAAAGAGAAGAGACACCAAAGCATCAGAAGGTCAATCATAAAAGAGCAATAAAAAGGATGGCTAACAGCAAGTTTATTTTGGTTAGGTTCATTGATACATAAAGCACGTCCTGAGGGAGTGATGAGTGAAAGATGTGTTGCCATAGAAAGGTGGAGGTGGGGAGGGGAAGTGGATAGGTTGAGAATTGTGGGTAGTTGTGATCCATATGAAAAGAATGAGAAGGGAGCAAAATGGAAGTTAAGGAGATCAAGTACAAGTCAGCCAGCAGACTAAAGGAGAATTTAATAAGAATTATACTCTACTCCAGAGAATGTGTCATGGTAAAGTCCAGAGATAGGCAGACATAACACCCAAAAGACCCCATATTATAAGCAGCTCCAATGCAACGTGGCAGGCATTATGAACCTTTTTTAGTTGCTTTGAAATGAAAAACAAAAGGCACAATGAATTTCAACTCATTCTTTATCTTTAATATGCACAGTTGAAAAAAAAAATACTGATGAGCCACCTTAAAGAAAAATTCAGTTCTAAAATTTATAAAAACATACAAACAATCAGAGGCCAAAATGCGATCTGTCGCTTTTTTAGATTTTTTTTTTTTCTTTAGCAAGTAAAAATCTTGCAACAAGCAATAAGCTTGTATCCATTTCTGATACAAGACAAAACTTCTTTAAAGTGGCTCGTTTTCTAGTTGTCTAGATAAGTTCATGAATTTAAAACCTGTTTTTTCTTTTTGTTCAACAAATAATGGCTAATTCAAAAATCATCAGGGCTGCCTTCAGCTTCCTTACTGTCTTTTTCAGCAGTTTGCGGCCCAAACATGACTACTTTAGTTCAAATGCATTTTTTCCCCATACATCCCTTTACAAGTTAATGCACAGGGAAAAAAGCTGAAAAAAAAACATCCAGTCACAACAGTAAGTTTCCAAATTTTCCAGCCCATTTTCCATATAATGGCAATCATTTGCCATTACAAAACAAAAGTTAAAACAAAAAGGAACAAACAAAAATTACCCCTATTGGCTGTAAATCAATAATCACAATATTATTATTGTTCTGTAGCATCCCAACAATGTCTAGTGGACCTAAATGTGGTAGCTTCGCATTATATACCTAAACAAGAAATATACTTTTATTTTAGTTGGTACAATTAGGTTTGGTAGCAAGTGAAATAAGAATAAAAACCAACTAAACAAAAAAAGGAACCACTACGTCACGGATCTCCTTTTCCCATTGCTTGTATAGTCAAAATTAAGCGAACATCGCTCTCCACTTACATTAAGCAATAAAACGGGAAAACCAAATGTGAGCGCGTAAGACTGGAAAAACTCCAAAAAGCGGAAGCTCTACTGATCAAAAAAAAAGAAAAAAAGATTTCACAATCCAATCACTGTTGCAAAGTTTCTTGTGGTTTTGACTACCAAGTGACGAAATGAACTGATTTAGTGAAAATATCCTCCATCCGGTTACAACTGGGGTTATCCCAATTAACTTATTACTATGATTACAGACAGGAAGCAGAGAAGATGAATTCAGAAAATAAAAAGCGCTGCCAGAGCACCCTTTTTAAGCAGAAAGACCAGTTAATGTTTTCTCAAAGAACTTCCAAAGGTTGGGGCAGCCCTTTAAAAGTCCTGGCCAAATTGACAAATCACATAGAATCCTCCTTTGACATGTCTGACAGTCCCAATGCAAACCAAAAAAAGATCGGCACAATGAATGTCCACTACACTATCGCTGCAGAAGTTCGAAAATGAGGGTGCTTGACTATCTTAGATGAGATTTTCTCCATTCAAGTTTGTGTGATCTTCTGACGTGATTTTTTTCTTCATTATCTTCCGTGTTTTGTAAATATCCATAATTTCAGGATGAAGAAAAAGCAAGAACTGGTGGCGAGAATTTAAGTTCTGTTTGCACACCACATATTTAGAGACACTCCCTTCCCACATTTGAATAATATTCCATGGAATAACCCATTATAGGCTAGTTCACAGATTTCGGATGAATGAGTGAGGGGGTCCAAATGGCTTAACACAGTCGAGGCTGGACGTATTGAGTTGGGTGTCTGGCTGAGACTCTAAGATCATGACCAGAAATGCAACATTTTGAGGGAAGGACTTTTTTGGAAAAAAGAAAATCCCTGCCTATATATTTCAGGAATATCTCTTTCTTTCATCTTCCTTGGCTGATATGATGGCTGGTACAACAACAGAAGTTCCTATTATTGTTTATGATCACCTATGTGTGCGTGTGAGTGAGTGAAAGAAAGAGCAAAATATATATCTTTTTTTTTTTTTGGCAACTGCAGTATAATGAGTCTTGTTCTTTTTTTCTTCCATGTCTTGAGGTTGTTGAGATCCATACATGTTTTGAGTGGCATTGAGACTCATATCCTTCAGCGCTAGTTTCTTCTGTGTGAGTGAATGTCGTTTCTGAGCATGGTGATTGATTGTTTTTTCTGGTTAGTGAGTGGTTGGTAGGTGATGGGTCAGTAGGTGGCAGGGGCTGAGGAGCAGCTGGGAAACCCACCATTCTGAAGTTCAAAGCTCCGGTTGTCTAGAACTTGAACTCCTTGGTTTGTAGGTTGGAGGATGGATCAAAGTTAAACGTGCCTCCCTGGGTGGCCTCAGGAATCAGGGTGGGGTCCTCATCAATCTACAAGGCGAACCAGACATCATTAACCAGATATCCACTGATAATTCAAATCTAGAACAGAACCCCCAACAAATAAAGCCCACGAGCAACAACACAGCCGTGCGTCAAGCACTATACAGAGAAACATGCCAAGAACCGAGAGATTGAGACTCACATCGTCTCCCGAAAAGTACTGATCGATGATTTCAAATGCAAGTTTATAGATGTCCTCATTTTCATGCTGCTGTAGGTTCTCAATTTTTTCCAATCCTGAAACACAGAAGCAATATTACTGCTGATCTTTTTCTACAAAATAAGTAAAAACATCAGCGAATGTGCAGATGTGATCATTTTTGGACTAATCTGCTGGTCATTTATCACAATACAACCAAAAGTGATGGTCTAAATTTAAAGACTACCCATTTCTATACTGTATGCATTACCTCCACACTCTTCAATGATCTCAGCAATTGTGCTGGCTTCCTCCCCAGCCATGATGAGGATGTTTTTCAGTCCATCGAGAACCACCTGGACCACCTGAGAGTCTTTCACTGAAAGCAGGTTGCAGAAGGGCGGGATCACGTTTTGCTGCACCAAGTACTCCACCTGCCAATTACATCAAGGTAACCAATGAACAAGCATGAAAAGGAAAGTGGCTCGGAATCAGAGATACATCTGGAATGGTTCATACCTGATCCTTTCTTCCACTTATTGTCAAGTTGCTAATGGCCCATGCAGCCTCTTTCTGTGTTCCAAAATCACCCTGTTTTGAAAAAACAAGACATATCAGACATCAAATTAAAGATCAAGCAGTTTAGTTATAGAGTGTCTAAACTGGACTCATCAAAGGGTCTAGATCAGTGGTTCTCAACCTTTTTTTCCACCGGGCCGCACTATGGTCCAAGTGCAAGTCTTGCAGGCCGCACGCATATCATTTATATATTACGTCAGCAATACAAACCAACCTGATTTATAATATTATAGCCTAAATATTATGATATCTAATCGGTTACATTCATTGAAATAAATACATAATTCTACTCCCCATAAATAACACCCAATTTTGTGAACTTCAGCTCGAAAGGAGTAACAGCACAATCATAGGCGGAGTTTCACTTTTATGCGTGGGGGGGCACCCACTGGCAGACGAGCCACGAGCACTTTTTTATATGTTCTACATTTCATGTATTTATGTAACACATATTTTACATAAAAAAATTTTAATGAACAATAACTGATGTACAAAGAGTAAAAAAAAGAAAAAAAACTTTTTCCGAATTGCGCAGATGATCACTATCTTTCTTTCATCTCTTCTGATAAATTTTCAGTCAAATCGTTTTCTGTGTGCTAGATCAGAGCTAGAGCCCTGCATTTCAGCCTGGGCCCGATGGGCCCCGACTTTTTTTACGCCCCTCGGGCTGGGCTTCAGGACAATTTTCACGTCATAGTTCAGACGCGGGCAGGGCCTCGGGCCTGTTTTAGGCTTCTCCTTATTTTTATATTTTAGACATCCATCAATTAGTGAT